GACTCCCCCCCCCCCTCTGCTCAGAGCGTCAGGAGTCTTCATGAGGCGGGGAGAAGGTGAAACTTCCTTGTCCCCCCCACAGCAGATGGAGGAGGGCAGGGTCTTCTCATTTACCAATTACCGCACACTTGCCAGCCACAGGCTGACACAGGAAGCAGAGCTCTGAGCCAGGGACAGGGACAAAAATCCCAACAGCTTCCCTTCATATTTCACAGCAGCCTCTGGCCAGTGGGTTGAGGTTCTAGCACTGGGAGTCTATAAAATGTTCGCAGCACTGCCCAGGAGGGTTATGACCTCTTTGACAAATGGTGGTATGCCCCTTCCTACTCAGTAAATCAGCAGGTTTATCACACCCTGTCTCCTCCCTGCCTCTCCCTCCCACCATCCAGCAGCTCCCTGAAAATCCCCTACCTGAGCTGACTCCATCACAGCCATTTCCCTTCCCTCTCCCCTGGAACACGGGACGATCTCGAGGGAAATCTGGATGTGATTCCTCAGCCTGTTCGGGCGATTGGGACGGTTTCAGAAGGGGCTTAAGTGCATGTCACAGCCCAATTCCCCCCAGGCTCTCTCCCTGCAGACAGACGCTCTGGACTCTGCCACGCTGCAAAGAAACCGAGTTAGTTCATTACCACCCAGGCCAGGACCCTCCCAGCGTAACTAAACCCCACGGGTCACTTTTAAACTCTTCCCATAAGAGAGTCTCTGAGCCCAATGCTGGAAAAAGAGCAGAACCAAAGGAGCCACCTTGGGGGATTCCCCCTGACATTGTCGTGTCACCCCTCTAACTCTCCCCTTCCCCCCCAAGTAGTGCGGTGTTCAGCCAAGTCAGGAACTGGCTTTTCGTCGCTCAGCTCTTCCCCTTGTTTCCAGGGGGATGCAGGGAATGGATCCGGGCAGGTCTGGGATCTGGGAGCCTCCCTCCCCATTTGTTTTTCCTGGTTTCCCCTTCCAGTCTCTCCTCTCTCCCTTTTTATCCTTTTCCCTTAGGAGAACCGGCGACTGCACCATTGTCCTGGGCCTTTGCTCTCATTAGGCAGCTCAGTCACTGACACTGCTAACAGGGGTTTGAACCTGCCTGTGTCCATGGGGGCAGCAGCTCTGGGACTCGCAGACACAGGGAGCCCCCTCCCCATGTAGGCCAAACTCACCAGCCAGTCCCTGAAAGGGGCCCTTTGTGCAGAGTCATTTTCCTGCCCAGTCCCAGCCCTTTACGCCCAGGTCTCTCCATCACCTGCAGGCTGCGGCTCAGGGGCTGCTGTGTGCAGAACCCGGGGCTGCCCCAGGGGCTGGTTCCAGCCACTGCAGCAAGTTCCCACCTGGGCTGGGCACTGAGGGGATTTAACAAAGGTCTCTCCTCTGCTGGGTAAGAAGCAGCTTCTAGGTTTGGGCTCCCAGGTCAAAATACAGGAGGCAGCAGCTTCGGACCCAGGGAGCTCCTCTCCAAAGCCCTAATAACCTGAGCACAGAGAGACACAGAGCAGCCTCCTCCTCTCCCTTAGCAATAACAAGAGACCTCTGGTGTCAACACCCAATTAATGAGCTGCCCTGGACTCTGCCACCAGCCCCCAGGGGCAGGCAGTGTTACCTGACCAGGGCACATTATCCAGCCTGTCTTACTCATCAAGGACACCCCCCCCCCCTGCAGCCTCTGCTTGAACCAAGTCAGAAGAAAAACATATAAGAAGGCTATGAAAAGGACATGGGAGACACACCTAAACACTTCCAGACAAGGGTGACAGGATTAAGGCAACTCCCTTATCTTCATTGGCACAGAAGATGGGACAGGGCGGCACCTCCATTAGCATACAGACTGGGAATCAGAGATTCCAAGGTAAGAACTGCACTGAACTCTGGGACCAGAAAAACAGGGAAGCAATGCATCATGGGGGAATCTCTGCTCCAGATGTTAATGAATCCATGCCTGCAAATTCTCAATTACTGAGAGACAATTTACGCTCATTGATATATTTGCTTTTGACAAACAACTCTCTGTATAACTTTTCATGAGTGACTTACCCAAGTATTCGGATTCTAATATCTAAACTGTATTGTTGAATTTATTCCCCTAAATTTGAGTTATTGCTAATTATGTACTTCATTATCTTTGACTTTTAAAATGAACTTTGTATTTCTGGATAATCTAAGCACTAAACCCAGATGTACACACACTCTTTTCTTAACCTGTGTGTTATGTAATTTTTTTTTCATTAGCTTTAATAAATCCTTTATTGGTATCCAAAATACTGATACTGCCTAATTGCATTGTGAGCTCCTTGGAAGGACCACCACCCATAACCAGCAATGGTGAGTTCCTATTGTCTAGCTTGAACAAAACAACTTTGGCATATGCCCTTGAGCCATCAGTTTACACAAACAAATCTAGTGATCTCCCTTGAACCATTGTTGTTTCCCTACAAAACCCCCTATCCACGCTCAAGTAAGTGCTCTGATGCCTGGATCCAAAATCTGCATCAGTTCCATTGGGACTTCATCTTCTCCTGACTGATCGTGCTGGGGGCTCTGCCTGTCTCCAGCACTCCAGACCCTCAGCTACCACCATTACCTGGGAGCCCCGATCGATGCAAGCATCACGGAGTGGTGAGAACCCAGCTCTGTCTCTCTCTCGGTATAGCCTTCTGACCCTGACTTGTGTGATCAGTTATAGTTTTCTCAACCTGACTTTTATAATCAAATTTAAGTTAGATTTAATGTTATAACTGTTTTGTTTGGCTCCCCTATGGTTATTACCTGGCAATAAATAACTTTCATGGTTAAGCTGGTTGCTTCTCTCTCCCTCTCCCGTCCCGACCCCCCACTGCCCGTGCGTGTTTTTGGCTACCCCAGTTGTGCTGCAGCAATGCTCCTTCTCGTACCTAAACTAAAGATCCCCGCAGCACCCAAAAATCCTGTGGGGTTTGTTCATCAAGTGGGTTACTACCAGAACGACTGTAACGTGAAAGTGGAGACAGGGACGTGCTGAACCTGGGGGCATATGAGGGTGGGAGCTTGGAGGTGCTGCTCAAGCCAGCCTGCTGAGTCTAGGGATATATAAGGGGTCAGCTTGGGAGTGCTGATTAACCCGGTCCTGTGTGTGTGTGCGCGCGTGTTAGTCTGATTCTGAGGCTGGAAGAACCCAGCCCTGAAGAACGTAGGTCCTGCAGGATAGCTCCACTGGGAGTGGACTTGCAGCAGGGAGAAGTTGAGCTCTGTATGAGAACACAAGTGACACAAGCAGCACATTGATAGAATTACAGAATTCCACCCGCCCCGAAGAGTAACCCTAATAAACGAGTGTACACCAAAGTAACGGGCAAAGCTGGTAACCGCAGGCAGAGGCTGATCTCATTGGCCGATCCACACTCACCCCCTGCCATACCCAGCAGTGACTCTGGTCTGTCACCAGTGTGGCTCAGATCTGAATCCTGCACGTAAATCAGACCAGGGCCCTGGGCAGCCTGGGTGCCTGTGGATATTTGCCTTGTACCTTCTGATCCCTGAGGGGCTAGTCCCCTGCTCACCCCCAACACTCGTTCCAGGAAAAATGTTCAGCGCCTCATGCTCTCCTACCCCATGGGGCAGAGGGGCTACCATTGCTTGTATCTCTTACCATCCCTGTGACCAGTTACTGCATCGAGTGCAATTCCCTTCCTGATGCCGTGAATGAGGGATTCCACTGATTGCTCCTGTAAGAATAAGGCCTTTTCCTGTAGCCATATTGTGAGTCTGCAGCCATATTAGGAGAGCAGGAGTTATGAGCTAAGAAGCAGGAAGTCACATCATCACATTCCATCTAAATTGCATTAAATCAATGTAGTATCAGGCTGTTAAAAAGGAGACCCTGTCCTAATAGCCCCCACTATCACCAGATAAAGAAACAGATCTTAAGATTGTTAAAGAAAACTTAGTTTGGTAGCATTCCAAACCACTTATCAATAGTTGTGGTTGGGAAATCCTCATTTTATTGTTTTGTCTCTATGGTCCCCACTTCCCTATTGTTTGTCTGTATGATCTCTGTCTGGTTCTTTGATTGTTTCTGTCTGTTACATAATTGATTTTGGTAGGTGTAAATTAAATAAGGGGGTGGGGTATGATTCAATGGAGAATTTTGTTATAATGTTAGGATTGGTTAATAAAATTTTAGTAAAATGATTGGTTAAGGTACAGCTAAGCAGGACTCAAGTTTCACTATGTAACCTTGGGTCCAAAAAGAAGACGAGCACAAAGAACAGAAAAAAGACCTGGAAAGAGAAGAAGAAGAAGAAGAACTCACCTCTAAGATACACCGCTCCAGATCCTTCTGGGCCCTACCAATAAACCCATTCCACTGAAACCTAACTGCCCTGGACCCTGCTCCTCAGAGCCTCCATGTCCCCTGGCCACAACAGGGATTTTGGGGTGAGGGAGTCCTGCTCCTAGAGAGGCTGCCCAGAACATCACGAGATACATTTCACGGTGACAGTGACTCTGTGTGTGATTCGTTCTGGTCAGAGATTGCATCAGTTTGGCAGAGATGGTCTCTTGTCCACACACCAGGCTCCTTGGCTACTAACCCTGAGCCTGGTCTACAAGGTCTGCTCCCGTACCTCGGATCCCATAGGGTCACTTGTCAGTGCTTTGCTACCGAGTTCCTTCAGGTGATTCGAGGGGCCAAATTAACCTGTCACTGGTCTCTAGACAAAACCCCTTTATGTCTGCTCCAGCCAGGGCTCTGCTCATGGGGTTGTCCCTGCGAGGCCACTGGGGTTATTTGTCAAGCCCTGTTAACATATCCCTGGGCTGCAGGCAAAACCTCTCACATCCACCCAACCCCCAGGGCTCCTTGCTAGCGTTACAGCACAAATGGCAGCCAGCACAATTTCCTAGTGGTAGCCATTACCGACATCTAGGTCCAGATGCCCTTTAGAAGGCAGCAGGGCGCATGCTCAGAGGCAGAAACTAAGGTACTTTTACTCTGAAAATATAGCTGCTGCTGAGTGAGCTTTGGCATCCAGGGGGTTCGTCAGGAGATTTGTGTGTCTCAGCGGACCCTAAACTGGGATTTAGGCTCCTAATCCCAGATTTATGTGTTTAGCCTGGGGTTTGGGTGCCTATGTGCCATTGTGAATCTAGCCCTGTCTCTGTAATGTGGCCACATGTAGCAGAAGCACCTGGATTCATCGGATGTGAAGAATGTCAGGGTCTCCTTCCTTTCAAAACACTTCTCAGCATTATCAGCAATCCCTTCCCAAATAGCAGCCACGAGCATGCTCTTGTGCCGAGCTGCCCACAGATATCCCAGGTTGTGACGAAGAGGGATGTTCTTAATGTTTTCTCGGAATACTGTGTATGTGCCTCAGTTTCCCCATTGTGTTACTCAAGCATCGGGATGGTGGGATACAGGTGTGTGATCATTGCAGAGATTGATCACACCTAGAGAGCAGGGGTGACTGCAGATTGGCTGCCTGGGCACAGAGAATGGCTGAACACTCTGAATCCTGGTTAGTGGTGGCCAGAGCCATCCTCTGCAAGGAGCCAGGCAAAGGTGTTGGAGAACAAAGAGAGAAGGGGAGGCTAGGTGACCTGTTTGCCCAGGAAAGAGACAAAAAACAGAGAACGGCAACTGGGTGTGACTGAGGCTGGGCGGCTGGAAGCAGGTCAGACTCCTGGTTTGGAACTCACTACTTCACTCCTTCTCTTTGGATTTAGGAAAGCTACTGTGGGTTACACCTGGACTATACAAAACTTTAAAACTCTTCAGGAAGAGATCAAAGGCCTGATAATTAATAGTATTTGGGGGAAGGTCTCCTGAACTTGTCTGTGGTTGCCCTGACTGCCACTGTCAAAATTAAGGCCACCTGACTTCTGAATGAGAGCGTCCACACAGGGGTTTAAAGCGCTTGAACTAAGGGCTTGTCTACACTACCGGCTGGATCGACAGCCAGCGATCGATCCAGTGAGGACTGATTTATCGTGTCTAGTATAGACACGATAAATCAACTCCAATACTCCATCTCAATGAGATGCGCAAGGGGAATCAACGGCAGAGCATCTCCCGTCAATACACCACACTGAAGACACTACAGTAAGTAGATCTAAGTACATCGACTACAGCTACATTATTAACGTCGCTGAAGTTGCGTAACTTAGATCGATCCCCCCGTACTGTAGACCAGCTCTTAGGTGCATTAACTTCACACATTTAGCGTCAGACCATGCAGACAAGCCCTCAATGAGTAAAGGGAAGGAAATAGGAGAAATTGGTGTGTGTGTGTGTGTGTGTGGGGGGGGCAGTGGAATCCCCTGCTAGTTCCTTTAGTTTCAAATGCTTCCACTTGTTTTCCAAGAGGCCCCCACAAGTGGGTGCAGACATTCAAATGCAACACCTAGCAAAAGAGCAGTAGTAACAGGCACACAATCAGTATCAGAGTTTTCAGCCCATGAACAGTAATGGGTCATTTAACATCCGAGTCAGCAGTATAGTCTGTGTCTAAGACAATGGGTGTTTATACCAGGGGGTAACTAATCTGCATTAGCTATCCCAGTGTGAAAACATAAAAGAGGCAAAGCACTTTAGTTTCACCAAAAGGTAAACTAGGTGAGGTCAGCACTGCGTCCTCCTGCCTGACCAATGCAAAGGAGAAACAGAACAGTTCATTTTAAAAAACGACTTTGGCCGCACAAATCAGTACATTTGTCATAATGAAGAACATCCCTGAAATGTATCACAACAAAAAACGTAGCACCCATAAAAGGCTGTGAACTTTAAAAAGGCCATTAGAAGTATAAACAATGCAGTAGAAAAATCAACATTGATGTATGCAATAAATGAAGTCCCAGAAGAGTAAGATGTGCACTTCTATGTGTGCAGGATGGGGGGTTACTCACACAAATAAGGTTTTAAAATCAATTTTCAGTTACAAGTGGTGGTGGGGATATCACATGTTCCCGGAAGTGCAAAATGGCATTGAATGTTACAGGATTGTACAGCCATTCTAGATATATGGATCCTTTGGAAGGGGTAGCTGTAAAAGCATGAAGCTAGTACGCCCCAAAGGCTCAGACACAACAAGGTAATAAAAGAATAACAAAATTTATGCATTTATGTATTTAAATCAGTCAGCACTGAACTCAAATTACAATAGTGCAATAGAAACAGGAACTGTTGTTACCCTGAGATGTGATTGTCAAGCTACTAGCAAGTGTTAATATTTCCCATGATTATTTGCTATTAAGAATATGAATACCAGGGCACAATGATGACCCTCTCCACAATGTTAATAAAGTT